TTCCTGATCATATGAAATCTTATATTAAAGATTGGATGTTATATTCTCCCACAGTCAATGACTGCAAAAAACTCTATCAGATTGATAGTAGTAATGTTTGCCTTTTCTTTATAGAATTTGGCATTCCTTGGATTTGGAAATGGAAGCCAATATTTGGCTATGATCATTATATGATCCCTTGTCTCAAGCGCCAAGGACTTTCAAAATATTGGGAGAAATTAGATCGAATGTGTCCAACCTCCTCTTCCCTTGAAGGAGCTGATCTTTATGACTCCATAGCCAAAAAGATTCAGATTTATAAAAAAGCTTTCGAAGATCGCCAACAGACCACTACCAGTTCGGAAATTCCGAGTCCCTTCCAACAACTCTCTCAGAAATATGCTGGTACTTTGTCCAAGGACGAGATAGTTGATCTCTACATAGAGAATATGAAGAAGGATCTGCATCAAAATCTTTCTCAACCTTCCGATAGTTCCATGAACTCAGACATACAGCAGGATGCTCAAAGTCTAGAAGGCTCCGAAGAGCTAGTCGTCTCCATTGATGAAGCATTAGAATCTCTCAAGGACTCTATAAAGCAAAGTAAGTAGCTTTCGTAGCCTTTTTGACATTTTTGTCAAAAGTTCTTTGCTTTCGGTCATAGTAGCCGACCAACTTTTATAAAGTTACTTTTTCTTTTTGGAACGAATCTTTTGCTTTAATAAAGCAKATTTCTTTTAAGCTGTATAGCCAGCTGTCCTTCATAAGGATTTCTTTTCTAGTATAAATAGAGAGGCATGTCTCTCTTCTGAAATCAGAGTTTTCTTAGGAGTGTTTTCATTTCAAGTTTTTCCTTCCAGTATTGTAATCAAGTGTGGTGAATAAAGAAATAAGACGAACAAGCTTGCCGACAGTGGTATAAGCTTTTTGTAAGTCCCTTGTTCTTTATATTTGTTTATATCTTCCAGTTTCTCTGCCGCCTTCATGGCTGGCTAAATTAGGACTATGAGTTAAAACAATTTTTGATCTGATATTTCAATAGATTTACATGGAATGGTTTATATGTTTATGATTTAGTAAAAATCCTCTAAATCGCTAAGTCTACCTCTGAGATCTCTGAGACTGGTTGTCACCCGCTGAGGCCAAGAGAGCCGTTTAGGGTATTTATAACCTTGGTTTGAGATTTGAGGCAAGTTTAGTCGTTTTAGATTGTTTTTGTTAGATTCTTAATTTCTTGAACTGCTAAAGTATGACTATTAGTCCAAGAACAAGATTTTTTCTTAAGTCTATCATAAAGAAGAGAAGTATATTGACTTAAATCTTGAATGTAAGCAGAAATATAATTCAAGCTTCCTAAAAATCGTTGTAATTGAGTCTTGTCAAGAATTTGGTCAGGAAATTTGTCACCAAAGGSAATACTGCGTTGGATAGGAATAATCGTTCCTTTTTCAATATCATGACCAAGAAATCTTATCTTAGTTTGAAATAAAGACATTTTAGGTTTAGATATGACTAAGCCATTTTGGATAACAAGAGTCTTAAAAATATTAAGATGCTTAAAGTGACTCTCAATGTCTTTGAAGAAGACCAAAATGTCATCTATGTAAACAATAATAAAATTAATGTAGGGATAAAAGATGTCATTCATAATCTGTTGAAATTCAGAGGGAGCATTTTTAAGACCGAAGGGCATAACCTTCCATTCATAATGTCCCATAGGAACATTAAAAGCCGTTTTATAAATATCATTTTCGGCTATCTGAATTTGCCAATACCCAGATTTTAAATCAAATTTTGAAAAAATAAGAGCTTGGAAAAGACGATCAAGAAGATCCTTCTTGTTAGGAATAGGGTGTCTAATCCATTTTAGGACTTTGTTAAGGGGCTTATAATTAATAACAAGCCGAGGGATACCTCGTTCCTGCTCCGAATGTTTGTTAACATAGAAAGCAGTGCAAGACCAGGGGGATTGAGAAGGTCTTATAAGACCTTTTTCAAGAAGACTACCAATTTCAGTTTTACAGAGAATAAGGTAGTCAGAATTCATCTGACACGGCCTGGCCTTAGTAGGGATATTGATTTCAGAGAAATCATCTTCATAAGGAAGGGAAACGATGTGTTTCTTTCTATCCCAAAAAGCGTTGGGATGGTCATTACAAATGCTTAGAGAAAAATCATTATGGATAAAATCAATCTTTGATTTTAGACGAGGGGTAGAAAGCTTTTCGTCAATGGTTAAGGAAGATATTTCTTCTTTAAGAGAATATAGATGAAAAGTTTTACGATCAATACGGTCTTGAAGAATATCAAGAAATCGTTTAACAGGTGGGTCAATAAATTTGAAGGTAATAGCTTTATTTTTAAAGGTACCTGTAAGACCATGCTCATCAATTTGAGTTATGGGATAGAGTTGGTAAATAAAAGGAAGACCAAGAATAATTTCATGGGAAATGGCCTTGGTTAAGAGGAAACTGGTTGTGATGCAACAACCTTGATTGCAAATCTTTGCATTAGAAAGTTTAAACTTGATATCAAGAGCACCTCCTCCCGCATGAGAGAGGGAACAAGAAGTTTTTTCAAAAAACCTACTTGGAATCAATCCTTCTTGGATAACGTTCAAATCAGCTCCGCTATCAATCATAGCTAAAAAATCTTTCTGAAAATGACCATCTATAAGAAGAGTGATTTTAGTAAACCATTTTTGAGTAATCATTCGACTGATAGTAGCAAGAGTTGCATTATCAGAAGACGGGGTAGCATTATCAGAATGTTGATTTGAAGCAGAAGAAGAGATATGTTCAGGTGCCTCTGTTGGAACATGAAAAGTAGCGTTCCGAACTAAAAGATCTTGACTTGCAGAAACAATTGCAAGATGTTTATGAAGAAGAATATTATCTTCTTTTAATGCCGTTATTTCAGACTTAAGAATGGTTACTTCTCTGTGAAGATCAGTGACAGAAATGGCCGTCGAAGAAGATTGTTTATGCTGAAGAAGGCGATGTAATTCTTTCATCGAGTAATCAATATTATTGATAGGAGGAGAAATAGTAGAAGAACTGGCAGTAGATTTATTAAACTCAAGATTTTCTAAAATCTCAGAACAAATCATAGGATCTTTAATTTTTTGTAAAAGTTTTAAAACCTTTTCATCAGTTAAAACATTAATATTTAGATCCTGAAATTGGGAAAGGAGTTTATAAAACTCATCATTGCTGGATTTGAGTTTGAAATCAGTGATTTCAGGAGGAGGCTGAATAGTATTAGAAGTTAAAACAACTGTCTCAGAAGAGGAGGAAATATCATCAATATAAATAATAATAATAATAAAATATATTATATTAATAGATTGATTTTGATATTTTATATTTTTTAGTGATTTTTCAAGTTCTAATGCATTCACACCCCTATTAAGGGGGTGTCATTAGCACTCCCCTTGTATAAGGATGTCATTAGCCTTCCCTTTTTTATACATCTAAGTATAAAATACAAACTTTGAGGGGGGTAACTCTGTCAAATTAGTTTAGTATGAGGATGTCAATTGTAAAATGATTAACTTCAATCGTAACAGCAACAGCAACTGCAACCTTTTCGGGTTTATCCCCATATTGGATCAATCTTTCAGCTCTTGATTCCCCGAATTGGATCAACTCCGTTCATCTTTCAAACCCTTAATTCTTTTAAGCATCCCAATCTCATCGCCCAACACACCCACATATGCAATTGCAATCGGAAGAAGATATGATATGAAGAACAACAGCAACAACAATATGGTGGCGGATAAGACTCGGGCCCTGCCAGTCGATCCCAATCTTCCACGGTGGGTCTGCCAGAACTGCCGTCACAGTCTCTCCATCACCGGCGTTGATTCTTACCCTGATAAATTTTTCAATGACTCTTCCACTTACCGATCCGGTTAGGGTTTCGCCCCTCCAATTTAGTATTTGATTACTAGTATAGGGGGCAATTATATCTGCTTCCATTATGAATCTTAGTTGGAAAAAAATTAGGATGCTTGAGTTTTATAAAGTAAGGTACCTCGTGTGTGAGCCTTGATTCAATTGAGCAGCAATTACCCTGTGAAAGCTACAACTTCAAGAAAAAACATGTTTTGTTTCCAGTTTTATGAATAAAAAAAAGAACAATTATCTACTTTTGGGATTTTCAACATTAATGGTGTAAAGTTTAAATAAAAAGAGAAAATCAATAACCCCCTATAAAGCCCAAGAACCCTAAAACAAATGAATTTTTAATCAAAATTCTAAATGTAAGAGTATTGTTGCTTTACTTTGTAATTATGTATTGATCTTGAGATCTGCTATAGTATGATCGGCAATGTGAAACATTTGGTTACTCGGTACTGTAGACTATGCCAAATTGCCAATGCCAATGTTGCTCATCAACAAAACAAATAATTTTTTTTTACAAATACTTCTGTTCAAGGGACTGAATCCTCTTAACAGCTGAATATCCATCACAGAATAGATATTCTTGTTAAACCATAAACCCTAATGTGTGTGTGAAGTTAATGTTCATCATGTTCTTGCTCACACCATTTGTCTAACAACTTCATTCCAGTTCATGTTTGGCACAGACTACTGTAGTTTATGTAGAAAGAAATTGAGCAAGGGTTGGCAGTATGTTCTGTCTCTTAGAGTCTTATTAACTTACTATAAACAGAAAGTACTTGTTAGTTGATCTTTTTCTAGTGAGAGGTTAACAAATTTGAGCATGATGAGTTGTTTCTTATCTAAGCAAAGTTGAAAGAATTTGAAAAGACAATTAATGTAAGTTGAAACATTCAGGGATGCAGGGTTCTTCGATGCATGGAGCAGGCAGTGTGTTAGGCACACGCATGGATCAATCATTTGTTGTGTTGCCAAAACAACGGAACCAGTCATCAGGCATTCCTCCTCGTCCACGTAATGGAGCTGTTAATCCTGAGGCAAATCAGTCTGGAAAAGCTATGGAAGAATCATTTGTGGTATTGCCTCCACCCGCCGCCTCTGTGTACAAATCTGAGCCTGCAGCCGATGGAGGTGGGACTCATGTTCCATCACATGAGGGTGGATCCAATACTGCTCCTACACAATCAAATAACTCTGGGTTCCACTCGACCATAAYTGTCTTGAAGCGTGCATTTGAGATTGCTACAACCCAAACACAGGTGTGATTTTACTGGAGGCCTATCGTTGAAGAAACCTCATTTTAAAAATTGTTCTTGGGCGCTCTTTCTTAGAAACAGAGCTGGTGCACTGATTTATATTGAGCTATAGATCATTTTTAGGCCATGCTGTTCTCATTCATGTGTTCTTTATTCCTCCAGGTTGAGCAACCTTTATGCCTCGAGTGCATGAGGGTTTTATCTGATAAGCTTGATAAGGAGGTTGAAGATGTGAATAGTGACATAAAGGCATATGAAGCTTGCCTTCAGCGATTGGAGGGAGAGCCACGAAATGTGCTTAGCGAGGCTGACTTTTTGAGGGAAAAACTAAAGGTGATGCACAAAAAGCTTTTAAATTTGATGATTTATGTTTTTTTCCATAAATCGTGACAAAGTATCAAACAACTCTGGAATTCAATGCTCCCCAAGCCGATGGCATAACTGGTTGGAGGTGGAATTGATGAAGCCTTGTATTATGTTGGACTGGATATCAATGAGTAGATAGATATGATGAGACATGTTTCTTTTCTTTGCTTTCTTGATTACAATATGCATGCTTAAATATGACTGGACTCTTTCATACCTCTTACTGATCTTGTACTTAAATGGTATTGAAGATAGAAGAAGAAGAACGTAAACTTGAAGCAGCAATCCAAGAAACCGAAAAACAATGTGCTGAAGTAACTGGTGAATTGAAGGAACTTGAGCTTAAATCTAATCGCTTTAAAGAGTTGGAGGAACGGTAAGTTACCTTTGACATTATACAAGAGTCAATTGCTACACCTTGTTGAAGGGTTTAACCACTGTTTCTGAATTTTTTGCATCAGGTATTGGCATGAGTTCAATAATTTCCAGTTTCAGTTAATATCCCATCAAGTGAGTGTAGCTAACATATTCCCTTAGATGGGTTTCCTCTAATTATGATACATACTTGTATAACTCATACTCAGGTGCTGCTATGATATCAATATTTGGCATTTATAGGTCTTGAATAAGATGATCCATCAACAAGTTGGTATCCTAAACGTCCGCAATAACTCATTTTCTTGTGTATTGTTGCATGTAATACCTGCCAAGATTAGATATCCGTAGACATACATGGCATCTCTTTGCAACGGCTCATTCTTGGTCATGATACGTTCCAATAACATGAAATATTTATGCATAAAATTGTAAACTTGAAAAAGAATACATGTTGGGCAAACAGGCTAGTTGCTTTCTTTGTAATGTTAAATTGGCTTTCTGAATTGTTAAGCTCTTCCCTGTGACAGGAAGAGAGAGATGCAATATTGGCCAAAATCGAAGTTTCACAAGCACATTTAGAACTCCTGAAGAGAACTAATGTCCTAAATGATGCGTTTCCAATTTGGTATGACGGGGAATTTGGAACAATCAACAATTTCAGGCTGGGAAGACTTCCTAAAATTCCGGTATGTGCATTGTAATTTAATTACTCTTATTCAAATTAACAAACCCGGGAAGCTCTTTGGATGAATGTTATTGGAACATGGTGCAGGCCCAAACTGTGTCTCAGCAATTTAACGTTTTAAAATTCGAATTAAGTTTCAGTTTTGGATAAAAAATTATGTGTGATGCTTGCAACTGCATTTTATGGTCTATGATGGACCATTGCCGATGGTGTCAGGTAGAGAAAGCCCAGCAACTTTTTTTTATCTGTTGGCCAACATAAAATAGTTGATGTGCTTCTTTCCCATAGGGAAAATCTTGGCTTATATTACCTGATCGTTGAAGTTTGGTATCTTTGTTTATTTCCAAGTTAACTGGTTTTCTTGGTTGCAATGTTGACAATGTTATGGTAACACTCAGGTTGAGTGGGACGAGATAAATGCTGCATGGGGGCAAGCTTGTCTTTTGCTTCATACGATGGCTCAATATTTCAGACCAAAGTTTCAGTATCCTTCTTTCTGGATTGTGACTCTGATGTTGAGTCTCTTATTCAAATTCCTTGATAGTAATTTGTTAGAATGCTCGTTATAAAGGTTTCTAGCTATTGCATGCGTGTTGTTAGGTAGTTGTTGGCATCTATATGTAGTTGTGTACATCCTGTTAATACTTAATTCCGTTGTACAATGCATGTCATCTTCACTGATGCTTGTATGGTCTTATCTCTATCCAAATATTTGTGTCAGTGTTATTTACCAAATTGGTCTAGAAATTCATTCTTTTGTTCATGCAAGTTGTTATGTTCTTGGCTTTGATATTCACATATGAAGTAAATAAGACTCATAGAAGCTTTCTATATATTGTGAAAACAGAAAAATTGTTATGATTGAAGTATATGCTATCTTGTTATACATGTATGTCTTTAATCTGTTGTTGAACAGATACCGAATAAAAATCCTTCCTATGGGAAGTTATCCTCGAATCATGGACAGCAGCAACAATACCTATGAGTTGTAAGTTTATATTCTACCCTATCAAATATTAATTGCTCAAGGAATTCATTATTTCACCTTTTTATTTGCAACTCTGTGGGAAACATGCCCACTTGTTTACCAAATTTCAAGATTCTTTTTTTTTTTTGTTTTACAATTGTTTGGTTTGGTATTGTTCTGATAAGATTTGTTATTTAGTTTTTTTTGTTATGTCGGGGAGCTTCTAATCCATCACACTTTTGTTATTGAGTTGGCGACTTGTATTTGACCATGATATAGGTTCGGTCCAGTGAATTTGTTTTGGAGCACTCGATATGACAAGGCGATGACATTGTTCTTGACCTGTCTTAAAGACTTTGCAGAGTTTGCAAACTCTAAGGATAAAGAAAACAACATACCACCTGAAAAGTGTTTCAAGCTTCCATACAAGTAAGATCTCTTTTTACCCATGGTAAATTATTATGAATTCTGTTAAATATCTCAATTTTATACAAGAATCTTTTAGGCAATGCAGTGAAGCCTTGAATAGAACTTGTTTGGATTGAAATGAGTGCTAATATTTTTGTGAACAGGATTGAGAACGACAAAGTGGAAAGCTATTCGATCACGCAGAGTTTCAATAAGCAGGAGAACTGGACGAAAGCTCTCAAGTATACACTATGTAATTTGAAATGGGCGCTCTACTGGTTTGTTGGTAATACGAATTTTCAGCCACTGGCTGCAACAGTACCTTCCTCCCATTCAGCTGACGCTTCGGGGTCTTTATACAGAAAGCGTGCACCTGATCCCAAGTCCCACCAGCAGCAGCAGCCCTCTGCCCCCTAATACTCCCCTCTAAAGCATGATATACACACGCACACATATATTTGTATTTGAATTGAAGAAGACCAAGAGATTTGTAAATAGGTATGCAGCAGATAAAGTATGATGTAGATATTGGGTTTGAATTCATGTTTCTATGACTGACATTGGTTGATGAATATGTTAAAATGATCCATGTATGCCTATCCATTGGCCAATTCCAAATGTTGTTATAATTATTTGATAAAGAACAGTTGAGATGATTAAATTTGAAACAATTGTACAGCAGTAGAATGAATAAATAAATGAGACGTACAAAGTACTCTTTTTGACAATAAACCGGAAATAGAAAAACATGACACTTCATTTCCAATAAATGATGTCACACATACCATAATTAAAAATGAACCTATCATCTTCATTAATGCATTAAACCAACCAAAATAAATTGCATTAAAATAAAACAGTCGTTTTTCTTTTGTGTTTGTTGACCAACTCGTCAGATAGTCATCTGGTTGCCCACCTACAAATGCAAATCTTACTTCAATCTTCCAACCAAATATAAAGCTAGCAAGCATTGGCCAACCACACTGCACCCTTTCTTTCAATCTTATAAACAGAAATAGATATATACATACATTTTATTGCATCTGTTTAATTTCTTAAGTCGATCTTTAACCGATGGGGATGAAGAAGACATATGTGGTAGAGATTGAAAAAGCAAAAGAAGGGGACGAAAGTAGGCCGTCTGTTGGTCCTGTTTACCGCAATGTGCTAGCAAAACATGGATTCCGACCGCTTCCTGATGCTCTCCATACTTGCTGGGATGTTTTTCGGTACCCCATCTTCTTTCAACTCACTCTTTCATTAATGGTATATTCGAAACATTTGTTATGTAAGCGTTGGAATATGAAGAGTTGAACGTTTATTGACAAGCAAAACAACTTGAGATGTATTTTATACGTTAATTCATTTTATTTGTTTGACTGTCTTAACTTCCATAAACTAAATCTATTTATGTAAATAGATACATGGACCAAAACACATGCTTGGTGATCGATGCTACATAATTTCGACCTCCAACTCATTTATATGATTGATCTACTATATATGTTTTTGCATTTTAGATTCTAAAAGGATTAACATTATATATACGCCATCGTTAATTATTATGTGTTTTGCCAATGCGCAAGTATCATTGTATTGTATATAGAAAAACATGGGGAAAATTGTAAAAAGAATGAGGTTCACCCTAGTAACCATTCATTTATACGGTATGCACATGTGCATACAAGGGATATGTAAGTAAGTTTTCAAGTATGCATACCGTATATATTAAGTTTTTATTTTTATTTTTGGAGGGTTTTATATGGTAGGCTTTTCTAATGGTATTTGTTTGTTGTTCATTAATTTCTGTTATAGTTTATCAGTTGAGAAATATCCTGATAATCCGATGCTTGGGCAGCGAGAGATGATTGATGGCAAGGTACTCCAGTACTCCTGTCCTGTTCTATTATATATATATATATATATATATATATATATATGATGATGATGATGATGATGATGTTTCAATTGTATCTATATATAATTGTTTAATTATTTTTGTGGAATTAATTAATGAGCTTGTGATAAAAAAATGTATTCAGGTTGGTAAATATGAGTGGTTAACTTACAAGCAAGTATATGATACGGTATTGAAGGTTGGAGATTCTATCTGCAGTCGTGGAATTCAGAAAGTGAGTATTGTCGGGATCTCAATCTTAACGATTAAGTTACCATTTGAGTTGCTCATCTGATCATCTTCAGGGGGCACGATGCGGAATATATGGGATAAACTGCATCAAATGGGTTGTAGGCATGCAGGTATCAAATCTTACATTACATAATATATATGTTCCCATTGACCTTAAATTCATTTTTTTTGTTGTTGCTGCAAGGGTATATATATATATATACATATATTCAACTGATTGATTGCATTCATTATCTTCTGCAGGCTTGCAATGCTCATGGCCTTCATTGTGTCCCTTTATATGACAGTTTAGGTACACTTTCCAACTTGTTTGAATAAACTGACCATCAAAACCTATATATAGCAGTTGACATTTAGCAATGTTCTTTCAGGTGCTGGTGCAGTGACATACATCATCTGTCACGCACAGATCTCCATCGTATTCGCAGAAGAAACTAAAATTTCTGAGGTAAATTGTGATCAAAATGTGTCAACTGAATTCTATTCGGTGTCTGATAAAAAGGATCCTCATGATTTATATAGGTATTGAAAACATTTCCTGATACCGCCAACTACTTGAAAAGTGAGTTTCTTTTTTTTGTTTTTGTTTTTGTTTTCTTTCCTCCTACTTATTTTATGGTGACTTAATTAATTAATAATATGTATTTATCGTATAGCGCTTGTCAGCTTTGGCACCGTTACAAACCAGCAGAAGCTAGATGCTGAAAAATGTGGTTTGGATATTTATCCTTGGCAAGAATTCTTGCATCTGGTATACACATATCATCTCTCGTTACATTGTCCAAATTTGTTTCTTTTATTAATACTTGGATTATAATTCCAAGGGAACCAAGAACCAATTTGACTTGCCGCCTAAGACGAGAAGTGATATATGTACGATCATGTACACTAGTGGAACCACGGGCGAACCAAAGGGAGTTATGATAACAAATGAAAGCATTCTTTCCATTTTATCTGGAGTAAATCACCATCTAGAGAGCATGAATGAAGAGGTGAAGCTACCTTCTTCTTTTCTGCATTTAATATTTGCATACAAACATGCCTTCATTTTAACCACAAGGCATAGCCTGAGACACCCTTTCAAAACAACATGCCTTCATTTTTTTGTAATTTGCTCCATGGCTACTAATCATGTCTGCATGTGTCTTCCATCTTGATCAGTTTCGTGTGAGCGATGTATATTTTTCATATCTACCTCTAGCACATATATTTGATCGGGTCGTTGAGGAGTTATTCATTTCCACCGGTGCCTCAATAGGATTTTGGCGTGGGGTAAGTCATAATTTTGTAGTACATACAAGTATATATATATATATATATATATATATATATATATATATTATAATCTGTGTAACATTTCGTTCAATACTCATTTGTTAGGACGTGAAATTATTGATTGACGATCTCAAAGAGCTAAAGCCAACTGTCTTCTGTTCTGTTCCCCGTGTGCTAGACAGAATCTATTCAGGTACTATATATATATATATATATATATATATATATATATATATACTCTGGTAGTCTGGCATGTACACCAAAGTAGATCATGATTGTTGTGTTCTTCTTGCTCATCTCATCTCACGCCAAGACTTTTCCCATTACTTGCAAAACTAGTTTTCGGGTATTTCACACATGCATTATGCATATCCTCGTGTACTTGTACCAATTTCGCCTTCCAGGCTTCCACTATCGAATATCTATGTATGTGACCTGCTTTATTCAGGTTTGGTAGAGAAGATCTCTTCAGGCGGTTTCCTCAAACATACTTTGTTTAACATTGCCTACAACTAGTGAGTTTTTTTTTTCTCTTGTTAACTTTCCAGCCATATGCATTCATATGTGTATATATATGGAAGGAGGCTTTGCTCCAAGAAAAAATGAAAAATTGAGGAACACTCTGTTAACCATTTATCTGGACATGTGCATACAAGTAATTAAAAATGTTCCTTGTTTTTATACACGTGTGCATACCGGACAAATTGCTTACAGATTACTTGTATGTACATGTACATACCATCCAGATGAACAGTTACCATGGTGTTTTTCACTTTTTCATTTTTTTGGGTTTCTCCTAAACCTGACCATATATATATATATATATATATATATATTCATTAATAGCCTATGCATTCATATATGTAGCATTCTAATAGCATTATGAATGCCTTTATATATCCGCCCCTCGATGAGGTCAAGAGGTCTGTTTCACATGCATCCAGTCACTTGTTCTTTTCTTTAATTGCTTCAACTTGCAGCAAACTGCGGAACATGAGTAGAGGGTACAAGCACGAAGAAGCAGCACCAAGGTTTGACAAGATTATCTTTAGTAAGGTGATGATGTAGACCATGTGGTTAAATTATATCTCTTCATCTCTGTTTTATGTACCAGATGTCACTCATTGAGGTCTGTAGTTGGTATTAACATCGATCGACCTATCTTTCCATTACTCTTCAAAATAGGTGAAAGAAGGTCTAGGAGGAAACATACGTCTTATCTTGTCTGGAGCAGCACCTCTTTTGGCTTCTGTGGAAACCTTCTTACGAGTAGTGACATGTGCTCATGTTCTACAAGGATACGGTATAAAGACAGATTTTAAACACGTCATTTAGTTTAAATCATTGATAAATATTCTAACCGCTACTCTTGGTGTGTCTTTCTACAGGTTTAACAGAAACCTGCGCGGGATCATTTGTTGCACAACCAAATGAATTAACAATGAGTGGCACGGTGGGACCTCCATTGCCAAACGTTGATGTATGTTTAGTTTCAGTCCCGGAAATGGGATACGATGCCCTGGCCAGCACTCCGAGAGGAGAAATTTTGTTACGTGGAAATTCCTTGTTCTCGGGATACTATAAACGTGAAGACCTCACCAAAGAGGTGCTTGTAGACGGATGGTTCCATACAGGTTTGCTGAACAGTCTGTTAGTGGTTTTTTTATACCAAAACCGTTCTAATAAGCTAAAACTAAATATTTTAGGGGATATTGGCGAGTGGCAACCAGATGGAAGCATGAAAATTATCGACCGAAAAAAGAACATATTTAAGCTTTCACAAGGAGAATACGTTGCAGTTGAGAATTTGGAAAACGTATTCTCCTATGTCCCTACCATTGATGCGGTAATTCTTTTCAGTTATTCACTATAGATCTTGCAGTCCTGTATATTGTGCCTTTTAACTTTCCTATTTAAGGAAGTGGTATTCCTAAATGTTTCAGATATGGATATATGGCAACAGCTTTGAGTCCTTCCTAGTTGCGGTTGTCAACCCAAACCAAGAATCAATCGAACATTGGGCAACAGAAAACGGAGTTTCTGGTGATTTTTCTACCATCTGTGAGAATCCCAAGACAAATGCTTATATTCTAGGAGAGCTAACGAGTATCGCTAAAGAGAAGAAGGTTTGAAATTTCTCTCTCTATCTCCAGATTGATCTTGAACAATATCTGCATGATTTTATGACATCAATCTGAACTATTTATGAGTTGTTTTCTGCAGTTAAAAGGTTTTGAATTCATTAAAGCTGTTCATGTTGACCCCCTGCCGTTTGACATGGACCGTGATCTGCTCACTCCAACATTCAAGAAAAAGAGAGCCCAGTTTCTTAAATACTACCAGGTTAGCTCTTACTCTTAAGTATTAAAATTATAGGGTTACTTGGATTGTTGTCATTCTGACATTGACTTATGCTGAGTTTTTCTCATTCCTCCTGTTCCTATATAAATTCAATATTCATCTAACTTCATATTCTGTTGTGCCATTTTACAGAATGTGGTGGATGGTATGTATAAAAGCAGCAGGAGATGATTCCAGATGCTCCATTACATGAATTGGATGAAACTTTGAAAGTTGGTTCCTATAATTGTACTTCTATTTTCAAATTAAACTTTTGTCTGTTCTTAAATCGTAAACATGTATCGTATCAACTTGTCTACATCTCCTTTTTCCATCTTAATTTGGCAAAATGATCCAGAATTTCTAGACCATTTTTACAGTAATGACACACATAATAACATCTATTACTTTTAAGTCAACATAAATACCAAAGACAAATAGTAAATCTACGGTAATTACCAATTTCTTTTCTAAATAATGCCTTTAAGACGATACTAATACTTTTAAGATTCACAGACTAATAATATACAAATGCCAAAAATAGGAAGAACAAACTGCATATATATAATCTATACAGAATAGGATGTCGAGTAAAACTATGTATAAACTCTTGAGGCTTTTTTGGAGAAGCTGTGTACCTTATTCAGGATCTACAGCACTAAAATCGGGGTCGACTGGTTTCTGTGGTAGCATTGACAGTACCATAGTCGGCAATAATTTAGGACTATTTGAACGATTCCTCTTCAAGTTGTGTAACATATTAGAGGCAAACCTGGATGCATAGATGGCGGCACCAAGGCTTGGGGAGGAGCTTTCCCCAACCTTTGCTAATGCATCCCGCAGTCTCTTTTCCTCCTCCCGCAATGTCTGCTCTTGCTTCTTTCTACAGTGTCTACGCCATGCAACCTGTATAAAACAAGCTCCCCATGTCCTCCACTGCTGTGAGTGGTACCTGAATATCAAAGTTTCTTATTGTAACATCATGGAGGAACACTTGTACGCTGTGTTATTGAATTTGCGAAAAGAAGAGAGAAAAAATGGATGGAAAAGAATGGAAAGGAAAGGAAACAAATGGAAGTTTCTTATTTGTGTTCTTGAAAGGGAAGGGAATGGAAAGGAAACAATCTTTCATGTCTTGAACTGGAGAGAAAGCAAAGGAAAGAGCCAGTTTACAAATATACCCGTTCTATTTGTTTTCTCACTTTTCCTTACGAGGGTATATTTTGTCAAAAAAGATCAGGCTCCCTTTCTTCCCACATTTAGGAGAAAACATAATGATATTCTCCCTCCCATTCCTTTCCCTTCCCTCCTAAAAAGTTTATAGATCACATGCTATTTTTTGTTTTTCCTCCCTTCCTTTCCTTAAAGAAAAGGTTTCAAGAAGACAGAGAAGCTTCAGCTCACAATTGGCACACCAAGAATGAGAAAGTGACTTTTTATTACCTAAAGGTATGCTGGAGCCGCTTGCTGTGTAGACGTCTGAACTGGGACGCTACAAACTTGAGGTCATCAGCCTTTAGAGCAAAAGCTTCAACATCTGTAACTGGTCGCACTGTTCTAGTTGAAAGGGGAAGACTTGAAGACAAGTTTGGATCCAACGCCCATGTCAGAAGTTCATCTCCACAAAAGTCACCTCCCTTGAGGTAAGTGGAGTTGAAGAATCCGGTTCTTCCACCATTGGTGGTCACAGTTAGCAACTCTCCACGTATGATGAACAACATCTCATCTACTGGATCTCCCTCTCGAACTATGCAGCTATTCTCTGTGTAAAGAACTGGATTCAGACGGTCACACATAGCATCCAACAACTGTTCATCCATTGTTTGAAACATTGGCACCTGCATCAACCAGTTGATTCATTATTCAGCTGAATTTGCGATAAAAAGGTCATTATTGTTACCACACACACAAACACACAAGAGAATTTTCTCCGTCTTTCAAGAAAACAGCCAGCAGGATGTTTGTTCCTTTGTGAGGGATTTTAGGGTTAGTTTAATTTGCTTTATCTGGGGTGGCTATATATGCACAGAGGGTAATGCAAAGTACGCCATAAAAGAAGTTACGAAGCTGTTACTCACTTTCATGAGTAAAGACAAGCAAAGATGACGCTTTATGTCCCTTTTCAAGTCCTTGGGTAGGTTGTGAATGAGGGATTGTTCATCAACTCCCCTGTTTTCTTGCCATTTGTACTGTTCATAGCGTCTGATGCGTTCCCTTAGTTCATCAGGGAGCATACGATGGGACATCCATAGCTCTGCATCCCTCCTTTTTACCCTCATTTCTTCTACTCTGACAGTGATAGATTGAAGATATTTCTGTTGCAGCAAACCAGAAAGCATTGAAGCACCATAACGTGAAGAAATTATAAAAAGAATTTGACTATTCAAATACATCATGCATGTGGCTCAAGTCGATGTGTATACACAAACAGGTTTGAAAAGATCATTGGCAGCTATGCATGTCAAATTACCATTATTACTGAGATACTGAAAGATATTAACACAAGAAAGATTTCTATTCTGATATACTTGTATAGCGTAGCAAATAGCAGTAAAATGATTGCCTGATCATGTCATTTATTTTCGTACGTATATAGACACATCAAAGTTGTTTTCTTTTTATGAAATTAACATGTTGGATAATTGAATTGGTGCTTCCCCTTTAATTATAGGGTTAAGTGCACGATATGTTGGACTTGGGATCATGTATACTTGTGCAGAATATGCATGATTCAACTCAACCAATCCTAGCAGTGTATATGCCCTGTTCTCATGAAAATTTCAAGAGTGTTTACCTGCATGTTGCCGATGAGAAGTGCAAATAAGACGAGTCCAATAATGGAGATGAAGATGGCAAATAGGATCTCCGGAACATAGGTACTTGTCTTGAGGTTTTGACCAACGGAGCTGAAGAAAAAATGTACACGTAAAATTTAGTAACAAAGTATCAGCGTAAGGTGTAGAAATTTAAAACATTAAAGAGTTTTTCGAGATCATGTTTGGCTATCCTACTATTGGGATATGATTTTCTTTCCTAGCAAGCCTGTTCTCATTGAATTTCTTTGTTTCTTTTCTATTTCTTGAGAACATAAATTGCTCAAGTGTTCCAACCACTCTATGCAAAGCACTTAAAGGGAACGAAGTGCCCTATATCGAGAATTTGAGCACAAACCTTAAATTTCGAAGACCCCACCAAAAACAGAAAAGGAGCTTCTGTGGAAAATCTTTGGTTTCTACCACGTGAGACTGGAGAGCATCAAGAAATATACCAAAGTCGAAATCCGATGAACTTTTTATTTCATCTGGTTGAAGAAGAGGGCAAGATGTAGTTAGAAATGCATAGTCCCCCTCACGTTTTTCTCCACAGTATAGAGAGTTGACATCACAATTAGCCTTGCATGCAGCACGCCAGCAGCTATCTTTCCTATCGATCGAGAGTACGTACCAGAAGGATCCAATCATCTGATAAAAGTATAGAGAGTTGACATCACAATTGTTATAATCACGTTTTTCTTTCTAATTGATCAATGCCAATTCTTGTTCTTAAAACTCAACAGTCAACATGCATGTGCCAAAATTGATTGTGCACACAAAGAGCTAAATTAAACCAGCAAAACACCTTATAAACAAACACAAATAAGTAATCCACAATCAAGTCAAACTGATAATTTTGGAGTATGAACTCTTGTAGTGGCTGAATTAGGAATATAATCAGGATCTTACATGACTGGCTAGCATATAGATAAAGAGATTGAAAGCAGCTCCAGCCCATGGGGTTTGAGTAAATATGCCAGAAGTCCTCGTCACTTCTGTATATAGTGGATAGATTCGAATAAATCGTGGGATGTATTGGGTTAATATCACGAACCTCAGCAAATCCTTTGTAATTAATGAAACTGGTCCCTTGCTGTTTGGTATGATGAACAAAATTGTTACCTGGATAATGTAATCGTTAAAGTTAAAGTCTACATATGTGCCATTTTTAATAACACGATAATTAAGCAAGTTTATAATTAATCTCTACTGTATGACATTAGGACAACCACAACAATCAAAATGATCTTACAAGAAAGGGCATACACGTTATATATATATATATATATATATATATATATATAATTGATTGTGGTATCTAATGGAAAGAAAGATCTATCAATAAATCCTATAAGCTTTAGCTTTCAAGTGTCTTCTGCGGTTAATATAAATTATAGACGCAGGTACAGATCGTAGCGTGTTTTAAAGTGTGACAACTTATTTTTAGGACAACAATGAGGCCTTTGATCCCCTTGAAGAGATCGTAAGCATAGAGAATAACTTAGATTTTATACCAATAATTATACTTGTATGAATAGAAGCATGCCAAATAACAGCAGACACAGAATTTCATAATCCAGACAATTTACCTGTGGAAGCGGAAGAATTGACAATAGATCTACGAAGAAGTAGGAGCAGAAGTATCGTTTTGCTATAGCGAAGGAGTCTTCGATCAATTCACCTCTTCCAAAGATTCTAGAAGGAGGAGCAATAAATCCGGTGCGGAACTCAAAGATTATATGTAAAATATAAAAGAGGTCGAACAAAGTTCGAAGAACACAAGAAATGATCTTCAAATTGTTGTCCAAATCGAGGCACATTTTATTGCTGTTCATGACAGGAATGTAGAAGAACAGTGGATCTAAAGATACAGCAATAATGCTAGTTATTACGAATATTTTATTCCACTGCTGAAGAAAAGACCCTTGTGGGTCTAGGATTTTCTTCTTTGCAACTTCGTTTTTTGCTGGTTTATCCCTTGACTGATGGAAGATTAGTGAATTCTTCAAGCCACTAACCCCTTCAGAAGCCTGCTTTACTCCTCTTTGGATGCTATTCTTCAGTGAGCTAAAAGATAGCTTAAGTTTCATATGATATAGACCATATGTTGTGGGCATTCGCTGATCAAAACGATAAGATTGCTCCGGACTTGTATCCTTAAACCTGGAAGAGAGAGTCACCATTATTGATCAGTAATATTTACTTAGGCCATTTAAAATGCATGTACTTATAAGTAGGCTTACCATATGGCAAATTATAAATATTATATATATATATATATATATATGTATCAAATCAGCCATAAGAAAAGATATGAGGTAAATGAAGTATTATAGCATACTAACCTCACGTATCTTTCCTGCTTGAACTTCATCTCCACAATTTCTTTGTAGTGAAGCCTTTCCAGCAACGATCTTGCTATCTATGTACTTGATCCACAAACAGCTAGTACATTCTCCTACAAACAATCTTCAAATCAATTGACTTTGAAATCTTCAAAAGAATTGAAGAGGAGATGATGGAAATGAAAGGTACAAAATGAATTCTTATTGATCAAGAAGTGAACTACCGATGATGAAGTAATGGTGTATATATACTGTAGTGATATGAGCTTTAACAAACTATCCGTTTAACTACAACCACTTGAGCAGTTGTTATATTGCGGATGATGAAGTAACGTTAAAGTGACAGCTCCTAAATTCTGTTGGCTTTCAAAGCGTGGATTTTCTTGTTCATAGCCTCTACCTGATTTGGATCCCAGATAGCTTGAGTAGCTAGTGAATTCTTTTGAGGTGCATGATAGAGTTTAGATATGAAACCTGCATTTGAGCATGTTGAAAGGGATGATGGGCTAGGAAATATTTGTTGTGAGATTAGATTACCTACTAGACCTTTAGGGCTTTGAGATGACACATTAGGCGTAAACAGAACGGAATTTTGAGGTGACGCATTAGATACAGATGAAGTGAGATTTTGGGAGACATATGGAACAAAATGAGGTGATGATGCAACATCATATGTTGTGGAACTGTGAGAAACTGGAATTGGATCAAGGGTTGTAGAATGTTCAGATGCATTGTCTAAAGTAGGAATCTACGACACATTGGCAGTTTCCTTGTGTTGCTCTATATCATGTTTTCAAGGTAATAATAAGATGTGAACATTGTGTATTAAGGATGAATATTATTTAACGAGTGAAAATCAAACACAAACTCATAGAATACAGCTTGTCTTGATAGGAAGACTTCCTTTTGTTTCACATCATGTTAGAGGTATCCTTTTTTTCCTTTGAGGATATATAATGAGAATACAATTTGTGGCTCTAGGTCTTGATTTATCCAAAGGATGAGCGGTGGCATAACAAAGGGAACCAAAAGCTCTAAGGTGATAATATTTGGTGACGGAACTGAATAGTAGTTCATCGATTGGAACCTTAAAGCTATACCTATTTCTAGGCTCACCGCCACATACTCCTAGAACTGCAAAGCCCTCTCTTTTGAACCCTATGAGAATCGAACCTGGGAGTAAGAGGAACTACCCCTCTTATTATTTTTGCACCCTATGAGAATCGAACATGGGAGTAAGAGGAGCTACCTACCCTTCTTATAGACCAAGGGGATTGCCACCAAGATAAGCCCTTGTGGTTTTCTCACCTCATTTGAGTGTCTCTTGGTGCATTCCACTAACTTAATTGATCTTTCTGGCTTTGGAACCTTTAGTGTAAGTAAATATTTTGCTTCTTGGTTAATTCTTGTCACGTTATGCAAGATGACTATGAGGAAATCCATGTAACTTGTAGCATGCACTCGTCTTGTTTGCACCCTTCTTTGTGAAAACAATATACCCCCTCTTTTGAAGGTTTTCATGAAGCAAAATCAGTACTCTTCTGCCCTTTTGAAGCTTGAAAATGACTTGCAACATTGGTCAGAGTATATCCTAGTCTGTCTTTCTTCTTGCCTCAACATACTATACATCTGGATGGTAGAGTTGGGAGGGGATGAAGAAGAGAATGAGGCCTATTACTATGGTGCAAGTATCATTAAGACCCGTGAGTAGTTGCATCAATTTCTTCCTCTGACCTTTCTCTTCAATGGACTTAGCTGCTCCACATACACATGTACAAGAGCAGTGATATAGCCCCTTGGTCCCATATTCGTTTCATCTTATTGAATAAAATTCAATATATGAATCTCCTTGTTGCAATAGAAGGAACTCCTTCTCGACTTGGAAGATGATGTTGCCATCAACCATCGACAATCGAGTCAAGTATCCAAGGGACAAACAGAAATCTCGTATTCTCTACCTTTTGGGTAATTTTCAATTCCGGGTAGCTTTTGAGATATTAACATGAGACCTATATTATCATTTGGATGCATATAAAGGGGATTTAAGTGAATCGACATTGGGTAGATTTGGAGTAACATCCTTGATGACGGATTGAAATTGTGTCAATTAATTTGAATAAACTTGTAATATCATGAAATCTTCAAGAGAATTGAAATGAAATCTTATCGATCGAGAAGTGAACTACAAACTAACAAACAACCACATGGCAGGCTAGTTAGCGCATAGAAATATATAGATTTAATTAGCAAACTACCAAATTAAAAAAGAAAATGGATCACTTCAAATTTTCCAAACACAAAGTTGTGAGGAATTTGAGCAAGAGTAGCGTATTGTATTTATGCTGAAATTATAAAAAAAAAATCTATGGATGAAGTACATGGTAAAACAACACATCCTAAAATCTGATTCCATACTTGATAAATCCGATTTGTTTTGTTATTATTTACATTAAGGCCTAATTCTATACGGTGAGGTGATTGATTAGGATGTTTAATTGTGCATGCATAGGGTTGAATGTTGATGATGGGACATCAGCTAGAACTGAAAATTCAAAATCCTTCTCCTAAGACGTTATTCTTCTCCAAACTTTCGCTACAATAACTAACAACAAACTGAAACCAGAAAAACTGACTTGTGCTCATAACCAGAACCTAAAACTTTCATAAGAATTAGAAAAGAAGTCCTGATTGAATTGGGAAACATGTAAGAAGAAGATGATAACTTACGATTTGGCGATGGATGTCTGCAAATGGCGATAAGCAGTGAAGTGTTAATGGTGCAAGTAAATAGAGGCCCAAAGTGGGTTGAGAAATTTCTTGGAGGTTTGGTAATGCAAGCAGCCATGGACGGGTCAACTTTTAGCGGGAGAATTGTCTGTGTCAACCGGTCAGTCAGTCTTCTCCTTCCGTATATGGTTTTAAATTGTTTTAACCCCTCCTACCCTAACCCTACAACTATCTAAAACCTTTTTTATTTTTATTTTTATTTTTCTTTTTCTGTTTATTGCTCCATACCATATACATCTAAGGCCTAAGGCCTTGTTTCTAAACATCTTTAGGGATCATATACTAATTAAACTACTTATCGAATGAACAATTAATGACAAAGATTAAAAATCTTACTCGATAAGAGTAATGATAAAGATCAAGACATCGTATGCAACAATTTATCCGGTAATTAAGCACTTATTCTTAGCATGGTAAGACTCATCATCTCGCTTACCGGATAAGACTTTTGGTCTTTATCTCATTCTTACCGGACAAGATTGTTGGTCCTTACCATATTAATTCACCCATGTGACTTTCAATCATTAAGTAATTTATATTTGTTAGTTATGAAAGAATGATGATAAATAATTAAATCATCATGTACAAGTTGATATTATTGGATTTTCTTTATATTTTATATAAAATAGAATTAAAAAAAAAGCGTTTATAGAGAAACATCGTTGTTGCAACTGCAACTTGAGTCATGGATGGATTGGTTATTGGTATATATTATTTTAGATTTAGTGGTTGTAAAGCGTGGGTGTCCCACTTGACTAAATATCCAATTTTATACAATTAAACTAATTACACCATTTCTATTTATATATTTTGAATAGATTTTCATTGACCAACTCAACCATCTTCATAATCCTACTTTTATTTATAGTTTTTTATTATTATATATGCCAATCTTTATTCTACCCCTCACTAAAAAAAAGGTTTTGCTTTCAATTAAATACAAGTCCAAATCTATTTCCTTTAAAGAATGAAAGTTTTATATATATATATATATATTTTATGTGATGTTAATTAAATTATGTCTCTTTCATCAAAATTCTAGAATATGTCACTGTTTTGCAACCCCTCAAAGGTGCAAAAAGATCCCAAACGACCAAATCACCTCCTGATGAAACTTCATTTGAAAAAAAAGCACCCCTCATCAATTGTCATTGTGTTCTTTGAGATAATTTATCTACTTCTTGAGATAGAAGAAATCTATGCATACATTTTACTTCGCATATCATATTTTTCAAGTGAAATATACTCGGTGCTACCAGTTACGGCTTAACATATGACGGGTTGGTCCTAGGAGTGTTTTTATTCATCCATTCAATTTATTCTTGTGTTTTACTTTGAAATTCAAATTCATTTTTTTTACTAAAATAAGTATGGTTTTTAAAACTAAACAACTCTAACGGTATGGCAAGAAGTTGACTAAGAAAAGAAGAAAGCCCCATTTATGTATGATGACAAGTACAAATGACTATGAGCATGAATCATACATGTGTAATTGTATGAAATGAATGATGCAAAAATGTTGCTGGACCTCAAGCCCATGAAGACCTACTATAAAAAAGGCCCATCCAATAATCGTACTTTAAGGCCCATAAAGGCTGAAATTACTTTGCACTAGCTATTATTAGAAATAGAAAGTAAACCGATGCAATTTTATTACATCCTCAATTCTACTTCATGCAATGTTATGTTGTTTGCTCCTTTTAGTTTTAGTTTTATTTTTATTTTTATAGTTTTATGTGGTTTTGAGAGAGTAAAAGAACCACTAACGTAAATCTTGTATTTGAACGTATTTATCAGTTAATTTTAAGTATTTCAAATAGTTTATAATATAGTAAAGTTACCATGATGAACATATTCCCGTGTGATAAAAATTTTGAGAAGCTTGTTAACGAAATAGAAAAATACATGAATATGAGTATGATTAAGTTAATGAAAATAAAAGATGCTCGCTTTTTGAAATAATTTGCTTGATTTAAAAATAAATCATATTTAAGATAACTTATAAAAATGAGGTAAATCTATGAAGTTATCGGTTACTTTATTGAATCCAAACATGTATGACGTAGAAATAAATACATGAGTTCATCGATTAGTTGAAACATATATATGTTTACATAGAAATATCGTAAAAGAAAGAAATTAAGATGCTGACGGGTGTCGAGTCCGGCAAATAATAAAATTTATGAAAATCAGCCTATTATCTCTAAAACACACTTGTAATAGCGATAAGTAGGGTCGTCTCCTCAGGGACTCGGTATTAACCGTAAGTCCAAGACGTAATCTCGTGCAAATTCATTAACAATAAAACTATATATAAAAGGGGGGGGGTTGGATGATTTATAAACAACCTAAATATGCAAAATAAATTGGGAACTTTAAACAATAATAAGAACGAGACTAGCAATGAGCATCAATCAACTAATCCTTTGGATTATATATCATCGACTCATTCAATTCATTTTCTCAAAAGAAACTACGTTGGTTAGGACATCGACACGCGTCAATATTCTGTTCGTTATAAAAGTATGATCAGTCTCGAACGCTCTACGACTAACCTCTAATTAGCTAATCAAACCTAGTCACGGACTTAGAATTTAATTRCCAATTGCATTAACGTCAAACAAACCCAACACTAATCGACAATCGGACGCCGATTGTTTAGATTAGATTATACGATCTTACAACATCATCATTTAACCTACATGTCAACTGTGTGTCGTGTGCTACTTCAATAAACCGAAAAGCAATTACGGACTTAAAGGTTTATCTAGCAACTCRAAATTGAATTAGACATAATAAGGGATCCTACTCAAAATATCTAACTCAAAACGATAAACATTCARCTCTAAAATCGCATAAATAGCTTCAAATGATATTAAAATTGACGTGAGTCTCAACGAATCCAAATTCAAAGCGATCACATACCCATTACTAGAAATACAAAAATTAGCTACTCATTTCCAAAACTGATGTACACTAACCTGTTGATTGAACGAAGAAATGGATGATAAACCTTTAAAAATCGTCTCTATTAAACACTCCTAAAATCTGGAAATTGGTCCCTGTTTCTCTTCATCAATCGACAGGTTCTGCGCACATGTTCTGTTTGTTAATACCTTTCAATTGACAGCCTCTTTGATTTCTGCTTCCTTCTTTCTGGACTGCCTTTTCGCTCGATCGATCCACGTCTCCGACTTCTCCTATCGACAGCCTTCTCCTTGATTTCTCCTTCTCGGCCGACTGCTATCGACAGCTCGCTGCTGTTCCTCTCGTCTCTCTCGATCGACAGCACCTTGCTGTCACTCCCGGTCCCCTGCTGTTTCCTCCCCTCTCGATTTCTGCTCCTCGCTGCTGTCCCTTCTTGCTGTCAATCGACAGCCCCCTTGTCTCGATGTTCCCTCTCTCGACCGACTGCCTTGCCTCCAATCCAACAGCCCCTTCTCTCCCAGTCGGCAGCCCCTTTAACGCCTCCTCGTACTCGCCCATGATCCACGATCTGCTGCCCCCTTTCCCGATCTCTCGCTGCACACGTATCTCTCTCTCTCGATCGATTTACAGCTGGGCAAGGGCAAGTCTGATTTGGGCAGCAGCCTTGGGCTGCTGCTATGGGCTGCTGCTATATTTCTTGTTGTTGGGCTTTGATTTTGGGCTGTGTAGCAGCTGCTGTTTGGACCATAAAAACAACACATAATCAACACATTTTTTTTCAACTTAAATAGCCTCATATAGTTAAATAACATCTTAAATAAAAATGGACATTTTTAGGCGTCTAATCGACATTAATCGTGAGGTACTTTGACATAAAAAAAACGTATATATTTGTATTTATCAGATGCATACTCAAGTTCAAAATTTGGGTGTTTTAACGGTTATTTCTTCCATGTTAGTTTTAGTTTGAAGCATGTAATTAAAAGACATTATTTGATGTTATTGATTATGATGAAAACAAACAAGACGAACTTTATTAAAGATGAAGAGTTAAATTGTTAATTATAAACTAATAAAAAGCACATGGAGTTAAAGTGAAATAAAAGAAATTAATACTTGTAATTGAACAATGAAGACCATAATGTTAAAAAAAAAAAAAATTAATATTAATATGTGTGTAGTGCCATCTGCCATGCACTCATGACTAAACTACCATCACCATCACCATCACCATCACCATCACCATCACCATGGCATGCATGATAGATCTAGAAAAAGATGGAGCTTGTAATATTAATATGAGTGGATACAATCATATGTACATTACATAATGCTTCTCATATCATATGCAAAACAACAAAGGGAAAGGGTTTCTCCTTGTTTATACTTATAGTAAAAAAGAAAAGATCAAACAAGTTGAAAAGAATCAAGATTTTTTCTATTATATATTTCTTTTGAGTCGTATGTTAATAATTAAATATAAATTCTTTTTACTTTTTATAATAAAATAATTAATGGATCAAAGGTGTAATAATTGTATACCAAAGGAAAGGAAGGGAAGGGACAAGAAAAGAGAAAGGTAGTAGATCTAGTTTTGTACTTGTAAATGCTTAGTTTAATTATTCACATATGAATTAAAGGGTTGTTGAAGGATAAGGAGTTTATATTATTATAAAGCAATTGCCCATGCCCATCCCCATCTCCATTAATTATTAATTATTTAATCATTAATCATTAATTATTTAGTTATTAATGAACAAACACTTAAATTATTTGTCAACAAAACACTTCCCACTTCAAAACCAACATAATATTAATTTCTTTTATATATTTATTTATCTTGGAGTTTCTAATGCCTTGTGAAAAAATGTTTGGAACTCCAAAGCCACAATTTCCATTTTTAGAAACTCAAAGCTAGCATTATATATGTTTTGCTGCCACTAGAAGTAGAACAAAGCAAAGTATGCCAACCACAAACCAAAACCAAAATCAAAATCAAAAGAAACAATCATAAATTAATTAAAGAATTAGTTTCGATACCATATGTGTATAGTAACTCTCCAAAAGAATCTTTGAAGAGACTGAAGGTTTTAATATTTATTCAAGAGAAATTCTTTACACCAACTATTCTAATTAAGTTTTGTATATATGACAAGAACATTGTAT